TTGTTTGTTTGAGCTCCTTTTAGTTTGGGGAAATAGAGAGCACAAGTTTAAACGACTGTTAGTCTGCTTCTTGTTTTTATGTCATCACTAAAACACAGAGTCTGAGCTGAGCGACGAAGCAGACAGACGGACCAATGTGGGGTAAACAAAGTCCTGTTGGGTTCAGTGAGGTAAACCAGATCAGGAAAATAATACCTCAACTCCCCCTCATACTTATTTTAGCTCTGTAAATTTAAACTGGACATGAATCATTATTAAGCCTCCTTAGCCTTTCCAAATATGTCCCCATGTACCCCACCACTTGGTACATGCTATAAAGAGAGTACAAAAAGAAACACCGTCTAAAGAATGGATAGTTTTTCTCCTATTGTAGCAGATGGTTATTACTCCCAAAAACAATCCACAGTTGATACTTTTTCATGATACTTTTTTCTCCCAGGATGCTGACAGTCAATTTGGTGACTTAAAGGCATGGTTGACGATTGGAGAAGCAGTTAAAAAAACTGAGCCATTAAGGCAGATTTGAAAAAAGCGTCCCATCACCTCCCACACACAAACCTCTCCCCTCTGTGCTCTACGAACCTGTATCGCCCTCCCCACGACACACCCCCTCTGGCAGAGCAAGAGGCCGGCCGGCAGATGATTCTACGCTAGCTTCAAATAGGATTCACCATGTTGGATTGCTAGTGATTAGTGGCAGTAAACTCCAGCTCTGCTTGCTGCCTGGACAGCTAACATGTTGACATTGCAGAGACTAATAAGAGTTATTTATGTAACATGTGCCACGATAAAAGGCAAAAATTACCTGTTCAATAAAAACTCTGCTGACTTTGCGTCTGTTTTCAGGCCCAAATCCTGACATAGCTATTCCACCGCTCAAAGGAAAACCCGATTTTTATCTTAGTTAGATTCTTCGCTTGGTCACGTTTCCTCTTCGTCTCTACCTTTTCTTCTGTCAGCTTGCGTTTTCTTCCCACTTTTGGTGGTGGGGCAAGCAAAAGTGTTTTTTTTTTGTGTCCTTCTCCATTACAGCTCTTGTAGCTAAGCTGCTACGCTACTTTTAGTCGCTTAGAGCTTTGAGAGGGGCTGGGAGAGAGGGAGGGGACGAGTTGGAACTACGGGAGAGGGGTGTGTCGAATGCAGTGAGGTGATTGGATAGAGTGGTGGAGCAGGAGATTTACCAATAGGAGCTGTCCAGGAAGGATGGCTCCCATTGGTCGATGTTTTTTGCAGGCCTGCACCTGCTATGGTGAACGATTTTTATTTATTTATTTATTTTTTTGTGGAGATCGCACTATAGGACCATGATCGCCATAGAGACGAGGTTCATAATAATTACCAATCTCTCCAATCGTTAACCATGCCTTTGACTGTACTACTGTCCTTGTCTCATATCTAATTGTTGACCGAAACATGTCATCCTCTGCTATGGTAGATGGCGACATGCCCTTTAGCTTATTACTGCTGGGTCATATCCTGGTTGTATCAAAACTTTGACAGCTCTGTGCCGTTTGTTCGTCAAGTTTAATTTTTTACGTCCTGTCTTCGTCTGATGAGGTTTTGTTTACTACCATGCTACCTGGCGATGCATCCATGCCATTTAACCATCGGTTCAGAGCCCGGCATGTGAACACTGGAGCATGCACAAGTCAGGCCGACATTAGACTGAGCTATAAACATGCAAAAGAGAATCAAACTCCAGCCCTGTTACCCAGCTAAGTTAGTCTGTCTACGAGCAGTTTGATTTCAGTTCAGTTATACTCGAACCCTGACTGATGAAACCTTGCCAGAGTGGACATAAATCTTGGTCTTTTCCTGTCGGTTACATTGCGTATACTTACGTATCAAATTGGCTCACAGGGAGGGATTTTTTTAACCGCTAAAAAACAAAAAACACACCTTGAACATGTAGGCTACATGACAAAATCAGCAAGAATGTGACACGTCCACAAGGGGGCACTAGAAGTGCTTCAAACAGAGAGTTCCTCACAAGAGCTTTAAGGTAGTTTTTTCAAGTACAAGATATGCAAAAGAGACCTGACATTTGAGAGCAACCATTTCATGTTGTAAAAGCAGTTTCTATAAATCTATTTCATTTTGAAGTCATGTAGTTCTTATAAATACTCGTGCATGTATGCCCAGTGTTGGTCCGGGGGTCTGCTCGTGTTGTAAATGACTGTGGCTCCAGTAGAAAGCCACACAGACTTCCCTCTGTGGGATTGTGGGTGACAGAGCCAGAGTCAAAAGACTTATGAACAGAGTGGGCCTCTACTATCAAAGGAGCCACGAGGGAGCCAATTTAAAGGCCACATATTTTTCATAAAGCCATAGTCGGACTCATCACAGCACTGTTCCAGAGTTGAGGTGCAGATATGAGAAGAAGTGCACAAGCAATCTCCAGAGTGCTTTCCACGCCTGTTCACTACAGACTCTTTTTTTTTCTTCTCTCTCTCTCTCTATGTTCCCCTCTCGACAGCTTTTTAAAATTCGTGCTCTCGTTTTGTTTTGAAGTGGTGGGTTTACACGTCAAGGGGATTTTTAGAGATAAATGTTTTATAAGAAAAAAATAACCAAACAAATGCTGTGTAGTTCAAGTTCAAACATGTGCTGTGTGTGATTCTTCTTTGTTTTTCTATATACTGTATATTCTGGTATTGTATCTACTGATTTATTAATCTGTTTTTCTTCCATTTGCTGCATCTTTAAGACTCTCTTTGTTTAATTTTTTCTCTGTAATTCATTTTTTTTCTGATATTCTGGTATGTCATTATCTGCTTTACAAAGGCAACATGTTAGTGCAATGCAAAGACTTCTTTTCTGTTAGCTCAGTATCAGTGAATGCACCACTGATGTATTTGTTTTATTATCTCTAATGGAAAAAATATATCATATCTTACTGTTAACCCTCAATTTGTATATACTAACATATAATTATACAATATAATTTAAGACATCTGTAAGGGTCATGTTTGTCTGTTCTTTCTCTTTCTTTATAACTAACAAAGCACCAATATGAGCAGGTCCTGTGTTTTGAAACAGGACTGATGATCCTGCCTCATCTTTCATCTTTAAAGCTCTTTCTCCTTCACTTTCTCGCTTTGCCGAGTTCGACTGAGGCAGTTTGAAATGTCACCCACACTTCAGTTTTTGCTCTGACAGTTGCACAGAGAAAGGGAGAGCCTGCTGGGATCTTTGTAGAGCTGAGGATGGAAAGGCAGAGTAGAAGTTGGTCTCAGATTAAATCGGCTATCGTTTGACGATGATTCGCCCTGTGGGGTGAAGGTTTCTGGTACAGTTAGGAGGATCCCTGATGACAGCTATCCCAGCCAAGGCTTCATCTTCCATGCAGTAGTTATTGTTTGATGCCTGACTACTTATATCTACTAACAGATGTCTGCAGAAGAGGGTGTCGTAACTGAGTCACCAAACCTCGAGTCCACAATGTCTGAATCTGAGTCGTTCTCGGTATCAAAAACAATCTAAGTTGAGTCCAAGATGGTCCAGGCTTAACCCTGGAGTTACAGTCAAAAAAGCCATTCTCTGCACATTGAGTTCCAAAAGCAAACACAATCAGAAAAAATTTCAGAAAAATATTATTAATTCACTAAATCAAATATTTTTATCAACTCCAGTCCTGTTTGTAAAGTTTTTTTGTTACAGAACTTTAACCCTCCATATGCATGTTAATTTTTAAGTTATTTTTTATTTATATATTTCTTTAGACAGTCCAAAACATGACACTGATTATCAGCAAGTTTGATATTGGTGGGGTTGTTTTTGGTTTTGTATCAGCTTGAAAAATTGAATGAAAATGAAAAATATAAACAAAATTAAAGAATACAGAAAATAAATTAGAATAAAATAATTCAGAATACAAAAATTATATAAAAATAAAATATCCCAAAAGTTAACATATCAAAAAATTGTTTTATACTAGTTCACTGTATTTACCATGTTCAGTCCGGTTCACCAAAAAGAAAACTATTTTCATTTTTAGAGCTGTAACCCTTTACTTCAGTCATAAATCCAAACCAGGCTAAATAGCGCCCCTAGCTGTGATGAGGAGAACTGTGTTTGGCATGTGGGACTAAAAGGGTAAATGGTGACATCTGCTGGAAAATAGTAAAAGCTACAAATTTGAAGTCTTGTCTGCAAATTTAACAGTAACTGTAAGAAATTTCTTGTTTTAGGTTGCAAAGGTGATTTGATCCAAAATTGCCGCTATAATTAATTTAAATCAGCGCTTTTTGGCCTGAATGTGCAAAGTGTGATTATTTGTATAATTAATAGTAATCTTGGCCTCATATAACAAATAAGAGTTTAAATTCTGCTTAAAAAAATGAAATTTTGGCTAAAACATATATGGGTTATCAATGGAAAAACAACCCGGATAATAAAAACCTGTTCTTATTTTACATTAAATCGCCACTGAAGGCACCACAATCTCCACAAGCTCCCACAGACAACATGATAGTAAAAGACCACCTGAGTACTGTGGCTTTACTCTCAACTGAAGTCTTTAAAAAAAAGGTTCAAGTGTAGGGATGACTCCTTTAAACCAATTTTTACTATTGATACAATAGAGATGAATAAAAAGAGCTAAACCACCTCCAAATAATAGTCAACAGGTTGTGTGATTGTGTTCAAACCAACACATTGTGGCCCTTTAGCTCTTGGACTTGTGTAGTCTCTGATCAAACAAAAGCCCTCAGTACAAATGTTATTCCTCACCTACAGGTTCAGCATGGTCTGAAGATAAACGTTTAAGTCAATTTTGCTGGTGATGGGGGTAGAAAGCTGAAAGAGGGTTGCAGGGTGGCACAGACTTCTCAAGCCATCAACATCTGCTGGAGTTGTTTGTCCAAAGTGTTTAACATACTTGTCAGCCCAGCTTAGCTCTCAGCTAGACTCTCCTCTGCATCCTCTCAAGCCTCAGCCTGCTTTATTCTCCAAACTTCTTTTCCCCCATTTCACCTTCCTCCTTCCTTTTCCCTCTGAGGCTAAATTCTCACAAAGGCCCGGATATGAAAATGTATCTTGGGGGGGGGCTGAGTTGAGACAAGAGGACGGCGTTATTGGCTGTGATTGGCGACTCAGTGGTGTAGCAGGTTCTGTCTCTCTCTCTTTGTTTCTCTTCGGAGAGGCGGGACAGAGCAACTACAAAGCTATGCTGAAATTAAAGTCGGCTTCTTCTGTTCTCATCTCTGAAGATCCATCCTCCCCCCTGACACGCACACGTATACACACTCTCAAACACACACAGCACCTCTGCTCATCTCCAAGAATTAAAGGCGCTCTGCAAAGATGAGAGCCTCCCAGGAAATAGCCAGCCTCGCTCTCTCCGCTCCTCCTCGCTCTTCCCTCTGCTGTTGGAGTGCGATGTGCCGCTTGTTTTCTCAAAGTGAGAAAATCAGGATCATCCTGTGCAGAAAGAAAAGTTTCCTGGAACACTTTGTGCTTGTCTTCTTGGATGGTCAATGAAAATACTTTTGTTTTTCGTGGCTTATACAAAGCTGACGGAGTCGACCAAAAAGCTGATCACATCCTCCATGCTTCAGAGGACGTAACACCTTAAAGTCTTTACCTAATTTAGTAAATACATGTAACGTCATGGTTTTTGTGTGTGTCCGGTCAAGAACTCCTACAGACATTTAGCTAATTAAGTTACTTTAGAATAAATTCATCATCACATCCCATCAAATTATCATGGAAGATCGCGTTTGAACGATTTCGCAAGAACAAGATATGCTTGATGTCAGCCCAGTCGCGTGTTGACTTGGGGTACTAGTTTCTTGCCAGAATTACCAAATTTAGCCAATTTATTTGTTTACTTACTGAAGGCTACTGATGCTGTGTTTCAGTTGTACTCAGAAGTAGGGATTTCCGAGTTACGAGTTGGAAATTCACCTGGAACGCCCCCCTGAAGTTGGAATTTTGAATCAGAAAGTTGGACAATCCTCACCAACCCCAACTTGACGACAACATCACAATCCAATATGGCAGCGCAGTGCTTCAACACTTAAGAGTAACAGGGAAAACTCTCATAATTTGTTATTTATTAGCACGTCTAACTGTGAACACAGTGCTATGGTGTTTGTGAGAGTAAACTATTCTATACTGTTATGTGTTGTTTACAACTGGTATAGCTAACAACAACTAACAACAGCTGACAACAGATGACAACCGCTAAAAACAACTAACAAGGGCTAACAACAGCTGACAATTGTTAACAACAGCTAACATCGGCTAACAGTAGACATCATTCCCAGCTCTGACATCCAACTTCAGAGGTAACTGTAACACAGCATGAGTCAGTCGGTAATGGAGTAAGTGTCTAGCTTTAGGGTGCCCGTGTTCACACTGTAATCTATCTGTGCTAATGTCCGAGTCACTGCTCTGGTTTAGTTGGTAACCAACATAGAAGCTAATGTTTAGCTTTAGCCAGCGGTCAAGTCCAGGGGTTTTTGTTGTTGTTTACAGTATGCCTCGAACTAATCCAGGTAGAAATCTTCTATCCAGGCCAGTAATCCATCAAATTGATCCCTAATCTCAACTAACAACCAATCAGCATTTAAAGCAAATGTCTAATGAAAGTTATGGTGGATTTTTGGCTTTGACTTCCAAGATCCTGGCCATGAAAAGTCATAACTTGCCAAGTCAGTCGCAAATCCAATTGGTTAATAGCTACAGCCTCAGAAATTAATCCTTCGCTAAGCCATAAGCTGACTTCCAAGTGGTCTTCATTTTGAGTGTTATCCCATTTGTACCAGAAATTGATATGCTTTAATTCAGCATCAAGGAAACCTACTGAGAGTTGAAGCTGGTGAAACTTGGTTGGTGTTGTTGTCACAGATTTTGATGAAGTGTGGACTAGCATCATTTCAGAAGATGATTCCTTAAAAATAAATGTATTCCTGGTTATAATGTGAAGAAAAAGTGATGATAAAGATGGTCTGTTTTGATGTTTGAATGATAAATAAAAATAAAATGATTGTCCTTCATATTGTACTGAGGCAATTTTACCCTTCACAGCGTAGATGAAAGTTTTCTTTACACTGACCTGCTTGTTTTCTCTCTTTATAGTAAATAAAAGACAAACTAGAGGGATGAGTAGAGATGGACATCAACACAAAAAAAGAGAAGAACAACGTGGACACAGAAGGACGCTTAAAAAAACATCAACTTAAACAAAGACAGCAGATTTGTAAAGGAGCCCGGCCTTCTATCAGGAATGAAAGAGGATCTGAGGAATGGACGATGGATGTTTGTGGACCTGCTCTGAATCGGGGCCTGAACCGTTGAGCCTGTAGTCCAGGGGTAGGGGAGCCTGCTGGCTCTGACCCCTGACAAACAAGCCTTGCTAAGCGTAAGAGACCAATTAGAGAGGTCACCATAAAACATTTTATTTTTGTAAACTTTTTTAAGTTTATGATTTCCAAAAAGAGCAAACACTAATGTACGTATATACATATGATATATTATATGTGTGTAATATAGTAAGTATGTATACAAAAAAAAAGAAACTTGGGGATAAACGGCATTTGCAATTTGAAGAAGGAGGTGAAGTAAGGAGATGCCAGCTTCCCCCCAGTCTTCTGACCGGCCCCCCTGACCCTCTACTGGATGGGGCAGAGGTGTTTGGGAGGGTATAGACTCGGCGTGTATGTGTGAGTGGTCTTGTGGGTAAGTGTGAGTGTGTTATGAGGGGTTGGGGGGGTAGCTGGTCCAGCAGACATGTCGCTATATGATTCAAACAAGGAGTAATCTTTAGATAGTCAAAAGCTTTTCAGCCTGTCTTCCACAAACAAACGGCAGTAGTGTAGTTGTTACTACCTGTTAGTTTTGTCTGCCTTTTGTAGATTTCAAAAGTTAAGTATAAAGCGAGTAAGTACCCCTACATTTCTCCGAAGAAGAAAAGACCGAGCTGAAGCTGAAGCAGTAGGTCATGTCTGCTGGAGGCCCGGCAGCCCCTGACCAAACATGTCATTGTAGTGTTGTGGTTTGAGGTGGCTGTGCTGTGTAGTAAACTGCTTTTGTACATCGTGTTGGGCGGTGGGTGGGGTAGGGGTGGGAAAGGGTGGTGGGTGGAACCGGCAGTTTGAGTGGGTTGTACAAATTAGAAACATGGGAGCTGTCCGCTTGGGAAGCGTCAAAGGAAACTCCTTCCATCCATCTTCCTCGACTTCCACCACAGAGAGGGGAGAGATGGTGGGATACGAGGGAGGAAGAGAGCCCCATGTGAAGTCTTAAAAAAGTGTCACAAAGTTTTCCTAAGAGTCTCTTTAAACCTTTCTATTTATATGGATCTCTACTTTAGTGACATCCTTCTATATTTAAACGTTGTACTAATAACATGCTGTCAGGCATGGTCAGAGAGTCAGTTGTAGCCATTTACTAATGTTGTATTTATTGTATTACCAGTAAGAAGAAAAAAACATTTATATATGAATATAGATATATCTATTTGTGATCTGCAACTCTTGGACATTAGTTTGCCTTTGATTTCCAACTTTCATGCAGGATTCAATGCACTGTCGATGTATGATGAGGTTTCTACTTGTGTGATGTTTAATTCTGTTGACATTCGTTGGGTTTCCTTTCAGTTCAGCTACTGAATGTAAAACTTTTTAGGTAGATGTTGTTGTTTTCTATACTACTTAAAAAAAACAAACAGTATTCTGTAAATTATATACATGTGTAAATGATATAGCAAAAATGTTTCTGATAATATGCTGGACTTCTTCTTCTTCTTCTTCTGCTGACCCAGACAGACTGTAACGCCATGGCCAAAAAAAGAGGAAGAGCAAGAAATAGAGGGAATTAGAGAGGTAAAGATGGAGGAAGCATTTAAAGGGAAAACCAGTGTCCTGCAGCCAGTGTGGGATCCGAATGGAGAGACAGTCAGAAGTTTTTACAGCCAGGCTTTTCAAATTTGATAAAAACAAGGAGAGGCGGGGCGGCCCGACCTTTGTGTCAGAGAAAGACAGGACGGAGGAGGGAAAGATTATAAGAAATTCTTTGAACTATTGATTTTTTTTCTTCCAGTGATTTCTCCTTGTCTCTTCTCCTACTGTCTTTGTCTCCCACCCCCCTTGGGTGTTATCAAGGTGCTGTGTGAATGCAATGTAGGGGGTGGAGAAGAGGAGGAGGAGGAAAAACAGGGAGTACAAGGGATTGGATGCACTCTGCTCAGAGGTACATGGAGTGGACAAAACACAGGAGACAAACAAAGGTTGATCAAGATATTGATAGTAGTGTAATGTGTCCCTGTGGCAAATACATTACATTACCGTACTAATACCAATCAAATCATTATCTCATTGCTTTTACTATTTTTATTGAACTATCTGTAAATGAAGCACCACTTTTCACGCACACTCCCACAACACTACTTGACCTTTCTCACAGGATGTGTTCATGACTTGGATTCGTAGGGCCTTTTGATGGCCATCAGAGCTGGTTCTAACTGATCTGGATCACTAATTAAAAAACAGAACTAAGAAACCATCTGGTTTTATTTCTTCTGGCTTAGACAGAAAAAGGATTCAGACCAGGCCAGTATACATGGTAAGATCTGTCACAGGCCACTTGAGCACACAGCCCTGAATCTGAAGTAATTTGTGGCTCTTCTTTGGTATTTTTGCCAGACTTGGTTGGGGCCTTCCTCATCAGTTTACAAACACCTTTGTGCGTACACTACTGGATTCAAAGCTTAAAAATTTTTTGTTAACTCTTATGGGGCGCTCATACCAAACGCCAGTAAAATCACTCGCTTAATTCGAGCGAATCTAGACACGTGAATGAATAGTATCCTCGCTTCATTCGCAACAGTAATTTCAATGGTAATCCCTGCCAATTCAACCGGCGGGATGGAGTGATAGACAAAGCTTTTTACAGTTTACCAGGTAATCCCACCTTCTCACTCACTTGCCTCCAGGCGAGCTCCTTTTTATTCCAGTATCATGTTATTCGGGGCACCCACACACCGACACAATCAGTTTGTCCTCCATTTTAGATACCAGTGAACAACTGTCTGTTTTCGTACGTCACCCGGCAACCTTAGTGCTGATTGGTTATCGCAACACAAATATCCGCTCAAGTTGAGACATTTTCAGCTCCAGCCCAATCCGCATTATCTGCACCGCCAGAGTAATACAAGCATCTTACCTTGTCTTTGCATTGACTTACCATGTAAATCATTTGCATGAATGATTTTACTCACGCCTGGTGTGTGGAGACAGTTAAGCACCCCTCACTGATATCAGAGTTTTGTTTCACTCCTGTTCTTTTGTCCACTTTATAAAGTTACACAGAGCTGGACACCTTCCTCCTCCTCTTTGTCTTTGTCTTTCTCTCCGTCCCCTCTAAGTCAGCAGGATTCACTCCTCTGGTGTTCGGGTCAAACTGATTTTGATTTTGTGTGTTAGAACTTGGTGATCCCCCCAGTGTTGCTTGGTTCTCTGTCTGCTGTACAAAGTGTGTGTGGCACAGTGGAGGAAACCGCTTCTTTACAGTTCACGACTGTTCTCTGGATGGACTTCTTCAAAACTTCTTCAAAGACTAACACGGGTGTGTGCGGGTGCATCTGGTGGAGTGACTTTTCTTAAAAAACCTGTCCACCACCGACCCACAGCGGTCCACTTCTGAAAAAACTGGAACAAAATGAGTCAGAAGAGAAACAGACTGGGACTTTACTGAAAACAAACACAGAAAAAAAAAACTACTGAAAAACAACTAACGATGTCAATCTTAGCAGAGATCCAGGTATCCTCAGATCTCTGCTTCTCATCCTGAACTTTTCTGTTCTTCCTGCTGTTGGTTAAACACTCTTGTCCTGTTTACACGTACTGTAAATGCTGTCCATTCATTAGCAGTGGGAGAGATTAAAAAAAAGGGTGTGAAGCAGCTTTCTTTCTAATGCTGGTATTCTCTGTGGCTGAGTACTGTAACCCTGAGAAAACCGTTCAGTTCAGGCTAGCATGTCCTCCTCTGCTTTTAGCCCGTAGTCCCTCCATCCTTTCCCCCCTGCAGAGCCCCTCCACCCTTTAGGAAAACATCCATGGTGCACATACTATACAAACAATCCTTGAGCTTCCTACCAAAACCTGACTGGGTCTTCTGCAAAACTCTCCCTATATTCCAGTATAATGTGTATACCTCAGATGCAAGCCCTTAAGCAGCTATTATCCTCTAAAACCTCCTGGCAAACAGACCTCACCTCCCCCCTCCTCCTCCCCTCTCACCCTCACAACCACACCTACCTCCCCTGTCCGCTGACCTCCACCTGAAAGGCAACAGTATACTTCCTGCAGAGACACAGTGAATCTACAGAAACTCTCCACTTTCAAAAACTTTAGTCATCTATCCAGGATCCTCAGAAAAGTATCAAATTTGTTATTCCAGTCTTAATCAAAATAAAATAAAACACTGAAACTACTTTGTTCAAAAGTTATACTAGGATGTCATTTACTTATCTCTTATTTCACTTTAGTAAGCAAAAAGTCATGTGAAATCTGGAAAAGTACCCTTTTTATGCAGTGTAGATGTATTATAGCAAACTTTGGGTCAGGAAAACAACATTAAAACTTGAAAGTAAAACGTGTTTGGTTCCTTTTTATTTCTTTTCTTTTCTTTTTTTTTTTTGGTTGTTTGTTTGTTTGTTTTTTAAGCCAAAAGATGAGAAATCACTTTAAATTATAAAGGTAATGAAATAAAATGTAAAGAAATGCAACAAAGCATTATGTAATCTATATATTGACCCAAAATTAAGCTGCACAGATTTACCAAATTATGAACTTTTGCAGTGTTCGCTCCAAATTGCCAGAAAGAAAGCACAACATGATCTACAGTGAAGCACTTCAACTGATTATTGCTTCAACGAAACTTTTTATTTTATTTTAACCAACTGGATCTTTACTGCACATGCTCAGATTACCATATTTTGAAGCTTCCGTATCAGTAAGCTTTTGAAATAATAGAAATTACAAACTTACAACTATCTATCTATCTAAAGGTATGAAAACTCTAGACACCGCCTGTACACAACTTTATCTTCATTAGAATACGAACAAACTGCATCAAATTACAAGAGGCCATCGACCATCTAGCTGTGCTTGTTTACATAAGGGTAGTAGAGCTTTGTGGCATCATGGCAACAGCTCCAGTGGGAGATGGCTTCACTGCAGTTCAGGAATTTAAGGTCTAAGTAAGAAATTAAGAATTTGTTCGGCAAGAAGTTTTTTTTTTTTGTCCACCCTTTTTTTTTTTTTTTTTTGGTGCTGCAAAGGAAATCCTAATGAAATTTACCGTGCTTTTCTAATCTTGAGGCCACTCTAGGTACAAAAAAACTTAAATTTCATAGTTAGGAAAGGACAACAAAAGAGAAATAAGAGTTTCTGCCTCAGAACAATCTACCAACTTGTCTATCTCTTTGGAAATACAGTAAAAAAAGAAGTTTATTGCCTATTGTCCCTTTCTAAAGTATTTATGTGCCCCTATGAGTATCAAATTATATCCAGTGATTATTTTTTGTTGTTGTTGTAACTTGTTCAATTGTATTTTAATTTAAGCAGATTTAAGATGTCAATGAGCACAGTTGGTGGAGCAGGCACCTTAGACACAGAGGGCACAGTCCTCATCATACTGGCTGTAGACTCTATTCCCTGTCCCTGAAAAATTGGGTGTATGTCATCCTCCAGTCCTACCCCATGTTCCCTGCCTCTCCCCTTCAAACTGTCCCATCCAAAAAAAGCCAAAATAAAAATCAAAAGGATCATATCCACATACTTAGTACTTGTGTTGTGAGTAAACTGTTGCCTTTACATCCCCACGTCACTCCCTAAACCCTCACGGCCCCCCAGTCCTATGCAGATCCCCAAAGCACAAAGGTTTGAATGGTGATAGTGAGTAAATAGAAAGAAAAAGAGGAATTTCCTTCCATTCTGTTTGTATTTGTCCGTCTGTTTTATCTGTTTGAGGCTTCAATGTGCTTTTGTATTTCTTCTGTACAGATCCTCCCTTTCTCTCTGTAAACAGCAGAACTTGTATTACTGTATATTAGAACAACAAAAAGACTCTTCTTCATGTGTGGCTGTGGCTTTACTTGACCTGTGCAATCCAATCTGTTTCTGTTCAGCACCTGTACCTGCCGGGTTTGGTTGTTTTTCTTGATTTGTTTTGGTTTCTTTCCAGGTTTAATTTCTGTATGCTCCCAATGTGCTTCAAAGAAACAATACTATTTATTACAGATATTGGTACATTATTATCACAGTTATTATTACAGTTATTAATACCATGATTAATATGAATAAACATTTCTTTCCTCAGTAAGTTCCCTGTTAATGCAGTTAAAGTGGTTTTATGAGTCATCTGCAGAAATAAATCTATTCATGCTCACATAAGAGAGAGTGGTGGGTTTTAAAAATGTTCTTTTACCTGGGGAAAGCTTGGGAAATTAAAAGATACTTTATTTATAATCTGTTCAAAGTCATAGACCTTTACATTATGGAGACTAGATTCGGATTAGCTGTGCAGTCATCCAAGATTAATTCAACTACAGCCCCAATTCTAAAACAGCTATAGGATGCTGCTCAAAATATTGATCAAAAAATACAAATTGATTGTTTGCAAATTATTTAAAGCCTATATTTAATCAGAAACAGTGCAAAATTTATATTTCAGATGTCTGTATAACTGTAGTCCTAGCAGCATTTTTCAGTTGTGTAATGCTTAAAAAAAGACCAAGAAGAATATTTTTCATCAAATAAAGGTAGTAATACGACTGGGTGTAAAAAAAAAAGGGCACTCCAGATGCTCGGTTTCTGGGAAGTAAGGATATAAAGAGATTCAAGAGAGTCTGCGTGAGCAACTAGTTCGACAGTAATACAATAATGTTGCCTGGTAAAATTTCAAATTCATGGAGCTCATTGCTTACAGTACAAAATATCATCGAACGATTCAGAGAAATCTTTGTACGAAAGGGACAAGGCTGAAAACCAGTAGTGGTTGGCCTCCAGGCGGTACTGCATTAAAAAGGATATGATGTCTGAAGTGGAAATCACTGTGAAAATCCACTCAAAAAACCATCATCTGTGAACAGTTTGTTGTTGTATCCACAAGTGCAGATTAAAATTTTATACCATGTAAAGAGGAATTTATGTATAATAATGATCCATTAATGTCTGATCAAAATTTGACATTCTTTTTGGAAATGGAGACGGGTTGTTTGGCTTGGCACAGTTCAAAAGACGGTATCTCTTATGACATAAGGTTGCATCAATGCCCATGACGTGTGTAGCTTTCACATCTAGGATGGCACCATCAGTGCAGAACAATATGTCAAGATTTATGAGCAGACAATTCAGACAATGTCTTTATCGGGGAAGACATTGAATATTTCAGGGGGACAAAGTCAAAACACACTCTACGACTAACTTGACAACATGGCTCTGTAGTAGAAGAGTCCGTATGTGTAGCTGGCCTTACTGCATTTCTCTATGTTCAACATGTGATGTGTTATCTTAGCACTTTTTCACTTATTATTGAGTTGAAATACTTTGCAGACCATCAAAATCTGTTTTTATCTCCATTTGACCAACAGTATGTGTCTCTACTTTTTTAGAACTGGTGGTCTTTATATTTCTGCTCATCTTTTAGGTCTGTTCAAAATGGAAGAGCCGAACATGATGTAGTTGATTCAAGTATCTTTAGACAGAATTAAATTGTTTAAAATGAATCAGTTATCTGTTTATAACTAATAAATGTACATATGTGTTTTGTTTTTTAAGCATGCTCTTTTACAGCTCCTTTAAGTGGTCTTTGCACTCCTTTTCCTTCACTTTCTTTAGATAGACTTTACAGCTTACTCATCTTCTGGGTCCACCTCAACCTCAGCTTGAACACTGTTATTTTATACATCTAACCAACACTTCGATTGAGCACCTTCGATTTTTCCACACCTCAGTTCATGAGTGTATTTTCTGTCAGTATTAGGCCCCTCTTTTTTTTCTGACCAGACACACCAAGAATATGCTGCAGGTGTATTGATGTTTGAGGGCTGATATTTCCTTACAGCTGCCAGAGAGCTGAACTTCTCAAGAGCTGAGAGTCTATGAGAGCTGATGTGGAGAAGGGAAGCAGGGATATTTACGGTGAAGGTAAGGAGACTCATTAAACGAACAGTTTCTGTGGTATAATCAGTTTGTTCAGTTTAGTGAAGACCCCTCATCCAACCACAGAAATAACTTTAAAATAACATTATATCATGTTTAAATGTTGCTGATTTAAACAGAGACATGTCCTTCCTTGGCATGGACCTTTTAAACATACATGAACACAACAATTGCACCCTCATGTGAAACAAAACCCCTGAGCCAAGACCACCTAAAAGAGGGGGTTTAGCTTGCCTCCAATTGAACCCTGGAGCAGTTCATTATGAGCAAGAATGCAATTAACCCGGCAACTCAAGCAAATAGCTGCTTGACTTTTCAGGCACAGTAGCGAGGTGAGGTATTTAGCACGAAAAAAGCCATAGGCTACCATTATCCACCATCTCCATCCAATTCAGCATCAGCAGAAGAGCTGGCGCAGTGTTACAACATCACAGGGCTCGACAACAACGACTGGTTCAGAGGGTTTGTGAGCGACTGAGTTAAGGAAAATAGCCTCTGCAAGTGGCAACAGGGTGTATATCTTGTTTTCCACTTTTTTTTAATCACACAAAGTTAATCCACATTCAAATGATTGTTAGTGGCCTGTTGGCTCAGAGACAGCAGTGTCATACAGTCCCTTGAGAATCCATTAAAAAATTCCAATTTGTTGTTAACATACTTAAGGTAGAAAATATTTTGGAGGGCTGAAAGCATATGAAATATCACAGAGATCCCCATAGGAATGAATAGATCTCCTGTTGACTCACCTCTGAGCACATACTTACATGGAAACTAAGTGGCAACCTCTGGGTCAGAGAAATGAAGCTGATACGAAAGTGTTGCAGATTTCTTGAAGATGGCTGCAGAACCTCCAGAAATCACAAAAACACTCAGCCAAAAAAAAAAAAAAACTTTTTAGAGCTAAAAGAAGCAAGTTCTGGTCTGAGTAGCTCAGGGCTCCCACAGCACCCACTACATAAGAAGGATTTTTTTTGTAACACACTCATTTCAATGTCATTAAAGTTGCAAGATCGGCAAATCAGGGGCACGGCTGAGATGATAAAAAAGCAGGCCTGCTGTAGTTATTTGAGAGGAGGCGAAAAGTCCACCTTTAGTAGGCTGACTGAATGTTAGACCGCTGTAGATCAGCTTCAGAAACAAATGAGTGACACCAGTTTAGCAAACAGTCTGTGGTGGACACAAGGCTCAACAATGAGTCTGGCAGAAGGCACAGTCCAAATCTGTGATAAACGTCATTACTTTTATATCCACCTGCTGCTTCTAACCATCTAAGGCGGGCGGTTTGGCCAAAATATATCAAGTATCCACTATCTTAACCACTGAGACGTTTGTCCCTCTATGTCAGTGGTTAAACTTATGAGGGATTTAGAGTGTCTACTAAACCTGACAAGCATGTTTTTGGGGTGTGGGGGGACCCAGAGTATCCAGAGAGAACTCACGCATGCACAGGGAGAACATGCAAACTACACAGAAAGGCAGAGGTTCGAACTTGGAACCTTGCAACTCAGTATGCAAAGCACCAGTTTCCTCTCATAGAGTGTTAGATAAAACAGAGCAGACCCAGCGCATCAGTAACACCAGTGTGATTATAATTTATAACTTCTGTTGTCAACTCTTGTGTAATGATAATTGCAGTTGTGACTGTGCCATAGTTGAAGTCATGTATTCCAATCAAATAATGAACTCAATATAATTCCTTTGAAAAAACAGTGCAGTAATGCGAAAGCAACGCGGGTGAATCGGATCACTTCCTGTTAACACAGAGGTGTCAGCCTAAAACAGAATATTAGGATCATATTAAAGACCCACTCCAGTGAAAATCATGTGTTTTTGTTGTTGTCTACATGTTCAGATGGCACATATAATGATAAAAATCAGCGCAAAAATTGCATTACTGAGTATTTCTGCAGACCCAAACAGCAGGCTCAGACACAGTGAGATTTCCTACATCACAAATCCAAGCTCCGCCCCCAAAACCCCTACTTTGCATTTCAGACTCGGAGAAATAGAGAGGACAAACTTGAAACAAAGCTAAAGAAAGCTAATTATGATATTAACTTTCATCATGTCCCTAAAGGAATTAGTGTCCAAGAGCTGAATAGTTCCTGTTTTACCTGCTACTTCTACTACAACAGCAATGTTAGGCTGCAAGCTAGCATGAAGAGGAGTGTGCAGAGCAGCACTGTCTCTGCCCACGACTCAGATAAAAATTGCTAATGATCTACTGGAGCTCTGCAGAAGAAAAGCCCTTGAAAATGACACAGGTAACATGATCTTGGCTAAAAACTTCATAATCACAATTTAAAGACCACTGAGAACACTTAAAGTAGTAAAAAATGATCGAAGTGGGACAAAAATGAAGCTTTTAAGATTAAAGTCTTCATGTACAAGATTAAAGTCATTAATTTAGTCAACCATTAATGTTGTTTTGAAGGGGAAACCACAAGTCTAAGCCTCTGCGCTAAATTCTTAGAGTTCTGCTACAATTTGGTGCCGCTGTGCCGAAACATTAGAGACAAGGAGATGCTCCACGTTCGTTATGTTGGTACAGACTGTATGCAGCACATACCGCATACTCCCTGTCATGTTAGTACTTAGTAAGCAGTTTAAAATTCAGCCAAAGTTTAAACACCAATAAAACGATTCCTCCTAGCTCTGCTATCACCTGTTTGTTGAGCTTAAAGTCTCATCTGCATAATGACAGCTGATTAAAACCGTAACAAAGACTCCCTCTCTGACCTTTTAGCCTTGATTTAATTATATGATCACAGGTGCTCTGAATGTACAGTACAGCCTCTGATACTGTTTATCAAAGGCCAGGCTTCCTATATGGTCATTCACACTCTGTAAATACCATCAAAGTCCACCAGACTGGCTCACAGCCCTACCCAGTAGAACATAAATGCCAGTCCCGTAGTGAGAGAGAAAGAAAGAGAGAGTGAGACAGAGAGAGAAAGAGAGGGATGATGGGACACTAATAGCCATTTGTCTTCTATCTCCTTAGGGATAGAAGACGGAGTGCTGTTGTCCGTCTCCACCACATCATTTACCTAAACAAAACAAATGCCTCATCGATCCACCGTCCAACCCCACATCCCCCCTGTTCCCTTTCCACTACAGTAACCAGGGAACACACAAGCACACACGCTGCACTGACACAGGGAAAGAAAAAACAGTCCTGCACACCTCATAGCATTGATCCTCCTCTGCTGCACTTTGTCATCACCTTCCATTGTGTACTAAACAATCCCCACTGTCGCTGCTGTCCAAGACAATGGATTCTGCTGTTTTAGCAGTTTTTCCTGATCTCAGTGGGGTCTAGGTGGTCTCTACATACAGAATGATGGGGAAGGACCACTTAGGCCATCACAGGTTACTGACTGGTGTCTGTTCAGTTGGGGGGGTCTATTCTTAACAGACCCTCCAACTGACCCTTAACAGACCCTTAACATTTAAAGAGACATTACGTAGGTTTTCACTTGTTTCTACAACCTAATACATGGACTGCTAAGAAGTTGTCGTCATAGCGACAGTGAGTCTAAGCATTATTTGTTGAACATTGGCCTCCAGTTTAGCTTTATGGCAGCTGTTTTGTTGTTTCCTCACGACCAGAAATGACCGTATATGGAAGACAAAGTGGTGCTAGAAAAATGCTAGCAGTCTGCAAATGCTACCAGTTATTAGAGTTTTACTGTCGATGCCTGAAGCTCATCAATTAGCCGGCTAATTAAATAGTTAATGGCAGTGTTTGTCACAGAATCAGATTGTATTTGTAGCGGTAGCTGACTGAAGTTGTTATTTATAAAACTAAATAAGCCAAAGTGCTAAAGAGGGAAGCCATGTTTTTGAAAGAAGCAGTCCTCCTATCATCACAGCCTGCTGTCCTCTCCCTGAGATAAGACTGAAACAGTCTTTGTTCCTATGGGATAGGGGAGACTGGGGCTTGTTGTCATATATATATATATATATATACACACAATTATTATTAGCAGCAAAATCCACTGTGACATCTTACCCCATACCATGAGACAACTTACCCGATGGTGGGGCATCATGTCACATGTTCACACTCTCTATTTTATTCCTTATAACTCTGCACTGACACAACATATGAAAATGACATTAATACAAAATATATACCTGAGACTTCGGTCTTTTATCTGGTACACATTTTGTTTGTATTTGATGTATTGATTCCAAGAAATATGTAAGAGTGTAAAAAGTGTGACAACAAGCCCCGGTCTCCCCTACCTCAGGGAAATCACTGTATCAGGTACGGTGACTGTTTTAAGTTCTTGTTTCCTTCTTTCGTGACTACAGGTGTGTTTTTGGATTCCTGCCATATTATCCATCCTTGTAACTCTTGAAGAGACTGAAAAAAAATGTCCCCCCATATTCATGAGTTGCAGAGTTTCCTTGGCTCTGCTCTGAATCAGCTCCACCATAACTCAATTTACAGCTTTTAAACACAATTTCAGAAACTGTTGCTCAGTTCTTAAAAAACTAAAAACAAAATGAAAAGAGTTGACAACAGGAACTATGGGAAATGAATCAATTTATCATGTTTGGGGATTTTTCCTTTAAACATTAACGGTATGTTGTGAACAAACTGGTATATAGGAGTTAAAGTTCTTATATACGTATTTTTTTAGACAGATTTGAATTTGTCAAATAGATCTGATGTGGCTTAAGTAGAAACTAGGGCCCCGTTGGGGCACTGGCGGGCCCGAGCCGTGTCGCGCCGCCCCCAGCGCGACCGCCTACCCCTCTTGATCGCGTCACACTCAAGGTCCAAAGATGGTGTGCGCACTTGTCTGTGGTCATTTACCATTATAATGAATGGGAGGCGCAGTTTCTACCAAAACGCTCGCTGCAGACAAACTCCATGTCCTTTTTGAAAAAAGTCTGGACCATGAGTGAGGGCACAAACACAGCTAGTATATATCCAAATGGCAAGTTGCTCCTCCTTTCGGTTTTGCCGAGAGAGCGATGCTTTTGAGCCATTGAGCGATGGGCAGGAAAAACTTGACTTTTTCTCCTGCCATGGGGGGGCGCTCTTTTGGGGAGAAAAAATTCCTTCACAAATGTGTTGATGGCTGGACATTGCATCATCCTAGAAAACTTGGAGGCCAGTGAGGACAAAAATAAAAAGTTATAAGACTTTTAAAAATGTGGATATTTGGGTCCTCTTTGGCACCCCCTAGAACGTAAACCGTGGGGTGCAGCGTCATGATTTGTACAACTTTGAATGGCCATGGGGTGTAGATTGACCTGAGCAAATTTTAAGCCGATGGGACAAAAGCTTTAGGAGGAGTTAGCCACATTCCAATGTGTGCGAATCGGCAAAAAATGCAAAATAGCCCTTTAACCGTACATTGAACAGATACGCTCGCATTGACTTTTTCGTAGATCTTATTGAGATACATGTGTGTGTCAAATTTTGTGTCATTTTGACAAAGCGTAAAGGCGTGACAATCAACAATGTGTATTTTCGCCTTAGGAGACAAGAAAAAATGGACTTTTTTCTCCTGCCATGGGGGGCGCTCTTTTGGCGAGTAAAAATTCCTTCACAAATGTGTTGATGGCTGGACATTGCATCATCCTAGAGAACTTGGAGGCCAGTGAGGACAAAAATAAAAAGTTATAAGACTTTTAAGACTGTGGATTTTTGGGTTATCTTTGGCGCCCCCTAGAACGTAAACCGTGGGGTGCAGTGTCATGATTTGTACAACTTTTAATGGCCATGGGGTGTAGATTGGCCTGAGCAAATGTGGTGCCGTTGGAACGAAAGCCTTCAGAGGAGTTAGCGAAATTCCAATGTGTGCGGATCGGCAAAAAATGCGAAATAACCCTTTAACCGTACATGTGACAGATACGCCCGCACTGACTTTTTTGTAGATCTTATTGAGATACATGTGTGTGTCAAATTTTGTGTCATTTTGACAAAGCGTAAAGGCGTGACAGTCAACGATGTGTATTTTCGCCTTAGGAGACAAGAAAAAATGGACATTTTTCTCCTGCCATGGGGGGGCGCTCTTTTGGCGAGTAAAAATTCCTTCACAAATGTGTTGATGGCTGGACATTGCATCATCCTAGAGAACTTGGAGGCCAGTGAGGACAAAAATAAAAAGTTATAAGACTTTTAAGACTGTGGATTTTTGGGTTATCTTTGGCGCCCCCTAGAACGTAAACCGTGGGGTGCAGCGTCATGATTTGTACAACTTTTATTGGCCATGGGGTGTAGATTGGCCTGAGCAAATGTGGTGCCGGTGGAAGGAAAACCTTCGGAGGAGTTAGCGAAATTCCAATGTGTGCGGATCGGCAAAAAATGCGAAATAAACCTTTAACCGTACATTTGACAGATACGCCCGCACTGACTTTTTTGTAGATCTTATTGAGATACACGTGTGTGTCAAATTTTGTGTCATTTTGACAAAGCGTACAGGCGTGACACTCAATCATGTGAATTTTTCACCTTAGGGGGCGCTATGGAGCCATTTTGCATTTGATTTTTTGGGCGACTTCAGAATATCGAATTTTTCACCAGGCCCGGTCGTCCTGCCAAATTTCATGACTTTTCACCAGTGGGAAGTGGGCCATTTTCCAGTTCAAAGGGGCAGAAAAATAATAAGAAGACTAGGGCCCCGGTGGGGCACTGTCGGGCCCGAGCCGCGTCGCGCCGCCCCCAGCGCGACGCCTCCCCCTCCCGATCGCGTCACACTCAAGGTCCAAAGATGGTGTGGGCACTTGTCTGTGGTCATTTCCCATTATAATGAATGGGAGGCGCAGTTTCTACCAAAACGCTGGCTGCAGACAAACTACATGTCCTATTTGAAAAAAGTCTGGACCACGAGTGAGGGCACAAACACAGCTAGGATATGTCCAAATGGCAAGTTGCTCCTCCTTACGGGGTTGCCGGGAGAGCGATGCGATTGAGCCATTGAGCGATGGGCAGGGTTAACTTGACTTTTTCTCCTGCCTTGGGGGGGGGTGTGGATTCTTTTAAGAATGTGGATATTTGGGTCATCTTTGGCGCCCCCTAGAACCTATACCGTGGGGTGCAGCGTCATGATTTTTACAACTTTGAATGGCCATGGGATGTAGATCGGCTTGAGCAAATTTGGTGTCGTTGGGACGAAAGCCTAAGGAGGAGTTAGCGAAATTCCAATGTGTGCAGATCTGCAAAAAATGCGAAATAACCCTCTAACCGTACATTTTACAGATACGTGCCCATCGACTCTTTCGTAGATCTTATTGAGATACACGTGTGTGTCAAATTTTGTGTCATTTTGACAAAGCGTATAGGCGTGACAGTCAACAATGTGTATTTTCACCTTAGGGGACAAGAAAAAATGGACTTTTTTCTCCTGCCATGTGGGGGCGCTCTTTTGGGGAGTAAAAATTCCTTCACAAATGTGTTGATGGCTGGACATTGCATCATCCTAGAGAACTTGGAGGCCAGTGAGGAAAAAAATAAAAAGTTATAAGACTTTTAAGAATGTGGATTTTTTGGTTATCTTTGGCGCCCCCTAGAACCTAAACCGTAGGGTGCAGCGTCATGATTTGTACAACTTTCGATGGCCATGGGGTGTAGATTGGCCTGAGCAAATTTGGTGGCGGTGGAACTAAAGCCTTCGGAGGAGTTAGCGAAATTTCAATGTGTGCGGATCGGCAAAAAATGCGAAATAACCCTTTAACCGTACATTTGACAGATACGCCCGCACTGACTTTTTTGTAGATCTTATTGAGATACATGTGCGTGTCAATTTTTGTGTCAATATGGCAAAGCGTACAGGCGTGACAGTCAACAGTGTGAATTTCCACCTTAGGGGGCGCTATGGAGCCATTTTGCATTTTATTCTTTGGGTGACTGCAGAATATCGAATTTTTCACCAGGCCCGGTCGTCCTGCCAAATTTCATGAGTTTTCGCCAGTGGGAAGTGGGCCATTTTCCAGTTTAAAGCGGAGGAAAAATAATAATAATAATAATAACACTAGGGCCCCGTTGGGGCACTGGCGGGCCCGAGCCGTGTCGCGCTGCCCCCCCCAACGCGCTGCCTCCCCGTCCCATTCGCGTCCTCTGGCCATCGTCCTCTCTGGTAACGCCCATCACTGCAAAGACCCTTTCCTTCATCGGCGTTTGCTGTTCTTCCTGCCAGTGCGTGTTGCTTTCACTTACACTTGCCACAGCCAGCCTCGTGAGTGCCTAGCCTATTGGATATCACTGTCATCTACACAGGACAGTCATAACCTTTCTATTAATACTTTGTTTTTTAATTTCACATTAATTTCCATATTGTATAAATGACTGGAAAAAACTTGAGCCCCTGCCCCTGTATAATCATGTGCACGTCCCTGTTCTAGCTCCAAGGTGAATCTTCACTGCTCATGTTCTCCTCAGAAATAGTCACCTCACTCCCCTCAGGTTACTGTACACATGCACCAACTATCTGCTTCAGGTTTGGATGGAGCTTCATGGTTGTCTTTTGGAGAAATGAACAGTCAAGTTGTGTTTGAAATTTGATTTTTGTCAGGGGCAAAAGGAAGCCTCTGCATTCTTGTCAAATATGTAAACAGCATGTTTTTGCAGGTGCTAAAAACCAGACTCTGAGTGTGTGTGTGTGTGTGTGTGTGTGTGTGTGTGTGTTGGCGTGTGTGTATATGTGTGTGTATCCTGCAGTACTCTGTACTCCTGCAGTGGCCAAAAAGACTTTTAAGAATGTGGATTTTTGGGTCATCTTTGGCGCCCCCTAGAACTGCAGTACTCTGTACTCCTGCAGTGGCCAAAATGACTTTTAAGAATGTGGATTTTTGGGTCATCTTTGGCGCCCCCTAGAACGTAAACCGTGGGGTGCAGCGTCATGATTTTTACAACTTTGAATGGGCATGGGGTGTAGATTGCCCTGAGCAAATTTGGTATCAGTGGGACGAAAGCCTTAGGAGGAGATAGCCACATTCCAATGTGTGCGAATCGGCAAAAAATGCGAAATAGCCCTTTAACCGTACATTATACAGATACGCGCTCTCTGACTTTTTCGTAGATCTAATTGAGATACACATGATTGTCAATTTTTGTGTCAATATGACAAAGCGTTCAGGCGTGACACTCAACAATGTGTATTTTCATGTAAGGGGACAAGAAAAAATTGACTTTTTTCTCCTGCCATGGGGGGGCGCTCTTTTGGGGAGTAAAAATTCCTTCACAAATGTGTTGATGGCTGGACATTGCATCATCCTAGAAAACTTGGAGGGCAGTGAGGACAAAAATAAAAAGTTATAAGACTTTTAAGAATGTGGATTTTTGGGTTATCTTTGGCGCCCCCTAGAACCTAAACCGTGGGGTGCAGCGTCATGATTTGTACAACTTTTAATGGCCATGGGGTGTAGACTGGCCTGAGCAAATGTGGTGCCGGTGGAACGAAAGCCTTCGGAGGAGTTAGCGAAATTCCAATGTGTGCGGATCGGCAAAAAATGCGAAATAACCCTTTAACCGTACATTTGACAGATACGCCCCCACTGACTTTTTTGTAGATCTTATTGAGATACATATGTGTGTCAATTTTTGTGTCAATATGACAAAACGTACAGACGTGACAGTCAATAGTGTGAATTTCCACCTTAGGGGGCGCTATGGAGCCATTTTGCATTTTATTGTTTGGGCGACTTCAAAATATCGAATTTTTCACCAGGCCCGGTCGTCCTGCCAAATTTCATGAGTTTTCGCCAGTGGGAAGTGGGCCATTTTCCAGTTTAAAGCGGAGGAAAAATAATAATAACTAGGACCCCGTTGGGGCACTGGCGGGCCCGAGCCGTGTCGCGCCCCCCCCCCAACGTGCTGCCTCCCCGTCCCATTTGTGTCCTCTGGCCATCGCCCTCTCTGGTAATGCCCATCACTGCAAAGACCCTTTTCCTTCATCGGCGTTTGCTGTTCTTCTTGCCAGTGCGTGTTGCTTTCACTTACACTTGCCACAGCCAGCCTCGTGAGTGCCTAGCCTATTGGATATCACTGTCACCTACACAGGACAGTCATTACCTTTCTATTAATACTTTGTGTTTTAATTTCACATTAATTTCCATATTGTATAAACGACTGGAAAAAACTTGAGCCCCTGCCCCTGTATAATCATGTGCATGTCTCTGTTCTAGCTCCAAGGTGAATCTTCACTGCTCATGTTCTCCTCAGAAGCACTCACCTCACTCCCCTCAGGTTACTGTACACATGCACCAACTGCCTGCTTCAGGTTTGGATGGAGCTTCATGGTTGTCTTTTGGAGAAATGACCAGTCAAGTTGTGTTTGAAATTTGATTTTTTTCAGGGGCAAAAGGAGCCTCTGCATTCTTGTCAAATATGTAAATAGCATGTTTTTGCAGGTGCTAAAAAACAGACTCTGAGTGTGTGTGTGTGTGTGTGTCTGTGTGTGTGTGTGTGTGTGCCTGTGTGTGTGTCTGTGTGTGCGTTCAAGTCACATGACATATTTAACCGGATGTAGCTGCAAGACGGAGCCTCGTTGAATCTCCGTTTCAACTTATCTCAAAAGTGAGGACCTCAACCTATATACCAGTTTTTAAATTGTGTTGATAGGCCAAATAAAACCAGAGTTATGATAAATTATGTCTGCGATACTTGTTTTCTGCTTATTTTGATCACGTTCGGCGCTCGATCGCGCTGTATGAGACAGGAAAACATAGCATGCAGACATTAGCGACAGGTCTTACAGGCGGAAAAGGCTTGCCAAAAGAAAAAAAAACACACCACAACATCTCTCCTATTGGTGGAAAACTTCACCACAACAACCAATCCAAAATTATATGGTGACTGATTGACAAGGGGCGGGTGCTTACGTTCTTCCTGCAACATGAGAAGCGAGGGAGGGACTCTCAGCAGGGATGCAGTCTGGGACACGTAGTTGCAAACCTAGCGACTTTGTTGTTAGATTCAATGACTTTTCAGACCCCCTAACGACTTTTTTTTAGAAAGAAAGGGACTTTTATCGACTTCTTCTGGAGTTTAGAGACTCTGACATGAAGCAGGCTTTCCTTACTGAGGAGTTAGCAACGCTGCTAAGGGTGCAGAGCCACACATGCGCTCAGAGCTCTGCATGGGAGACTGAAGCTGACAGAGCTGCAGCAGTTAGCAGGTTTCACCCTCAGAGACCACCAGGGGTTCATGTTGAGGCATTTTAAATTTTTTTTTTTTGTGCCATAGACACTGTCAGCACAATCTGCAGTTACACTAACAAAAATGCTGCAAAAAACAAAGAATTATGGAAAAAATTACACATGGACTGACATAGAGGAGGATCTACACAAGTTTTTTACATCATGTTTTACATCATGCATCATTTACATCATGTTTTTTTGTAGTGGCATAAATAAAAAGTGACATTTGTGAGACTATACAGTGTTTTGTAAATAATTTTACAAAGAACGCCTGGGCCATTGCCTGCATTTTGATGTAAATAGAGGTAAATCACTATGTTCTTTGTTAAAAATTTGCATATGTTTTGAAGTTTACAATTTTTATTTGAAGTTTAAGTTTTAAAAACAGTTCATCACACATATTTGTGGTTTTCACAGTAAAAATGTTACTTTTTTCCACTCGGATTTTATGTTTTGTGTGTGAATTTGGGTCCATTGTGTAAATTCAGTATGTCAACATGATAAAATAACTGTAAATTCGCACAGGTGAGGTTGTGCTGAAAAAAATGATACCAGGCAAGGCACGTGATTGTCAAATTTTGTGTCAATATGACAAAGCGTATAGGCGTGAATCTCAACAATATGTATTTTCACCTTAGGGGACAAGAAAAAATGGACTTTTTTCTCCTGCCATGGGGGGGCGCTCTTTTGGGGAGTAAAAATTCCTTCACAAATGTGTTGATGGCTGGACATTGCATCATCCTAGAAAACTTGGAGGCCAGTGAGGACAAAAATAAAAAGTTATAAGACTTTTAAATATGTGGATTTTAGGGTTATCTTTGGCGCCCCCTAGAACCTAAACCGTGGGGTGCAGCGTCATGATTTGAATAACTTTTAATGGCCATGGGGTGTAGATTGGCCTGAGCAAATGTGGTGCCGGTGGAACGAAAGCCTTAGGAGGAGTTAGCCACATTCCAATGTGTGCGGATCGGCAAAAAATGCGAAATAACCCTTTAACCATACATTTGACAGATACGCGCGCATTGACTTTTTCGTAGATCTTATTGAGTTACATGTGTGTGTCAATTTTTGTGTCATTTTGACAAAGCGTATAGGCGTGACACTCAACAATGTGTATTTTCACCTTAGGGGACAAGAAAAAATGGACTTTTTTCTCCTGCCATGGGGGGGCGCTCTTTTGGGGAGTAAAAATTCCTTCACAAATGTGTTGATGGCTGGACATTGCATCATCCTAGAAAACTTGGAGGCCAGTGAGGACAAAAATAAAAAGTTATAAGACTTTTAAATATGTGGATTTTAGGGTTATCTTTGGCGCCCCCTAGAACCTAAACCGTGGGGTGCAGCGTCATGATTTGAATAACTTTTAATGGCCATGGGGTGTAGATTGGCCTGAGCAAATGTGGTGCCGGTGGAACGAAAGCCTTCGGAGGAGTTAGCGAAATTCCAATGTGTGCGGATCGGCAAAAAATGCGAAATAACCCTTTAACCGTACATTTGACAGATACGCCCGCACTGACTTTTTTGTAGATCTTATTGAGATACATGTGTGTGTCAATTTTTGTGTCATTTTGACAAAGCATACAGGCGTGACAGTGAATAGTGTGAATTTTCACCTTAGGGGGCGCTATGGAGCCATTTTGCATTTTCTTGTTTGGGCGACTTCAGAATATCAAATTTTTCACCAGGCCCGGTCGTCCTGCCAAATTTCATGAGTTTTCGCCAGTGGGAAGTGGGCCATTTTCCAGTTAAAAGGGGAGGAAAAATAATAATAACTAGGACCCCGTTGGGGCACTGGCGGGCCCGAGCTGTGTCGCGTCCCCCCCCCAACGCGCTGCCTCCCCGTCCCATTCGTGTCCTCTGGCCATCGCCCTCTCTGGTAACGCCCATCACTGCAAAGACCCTTTTCCTTCATCGGCGTTTGCTGTTCTTCCTGCCAGTGCGTGTTGCTTTCACTTACACTTGCCACAGCCAGCCTCTTGAGTGCCTAGCCTATTGGATATCACTGTCACCTACTCAGGACAGTCATTACCTTTCTATTAATACTTTGTTTTTTAATTTCACATTAATTTCCATATTGTATAAACAAGTGGAAAAAACTTGAGCCCCTGCCCCTGTATAATCATGTGCACGTCTCTGTTCTAGCTCTAAGGTGAATCTTCACTGCTCATGTTCTCCTCAGAAGCAGTCACCTCACTCCCCTCAGGTTACTGTACACATGCACCAACTGCCTGCTTCAGGTTTGGATGGAGCTTCATGGTTGTCTTTTGGAGAAATGACCAGTCAAGTTGTGTTTGAAATTTGATTTTTTTCAGGGGCAAAAGGAGCCTCTGCATTCTTGTCAAATATGTAAATAGCATGTTTTTGCAGGTGCTAAAAAACAGACTCTGAGTGTGTGTGTGTGCGTGTGTGTGTGTGTCTGTGTGTGTGTGTGTGTGTGTGTGTGTGTGTGTGTGTGTGTGTGTGTGTGCGTTGAAGTCACATGACATATTTAACCGGATGTAGCTGCAAGACGGAGCCTCGTTGACTCCGTTTCAACTTATCTCAAAAGTGAGGACCTCAACCTATATACCAGTTTTTAAATTGTGTTGATAGGCCAAATAAAACCAGAGTTATGATAAATTATGTCCCCGATACTTGTTTTCTGCTTATTTTGATCACGTTCGGCGCTCGATCGCGCTGTATGAGACAGGAAAACATAGCATGCAGACATTAGCGACAGGTCTTACAGGCGGAAAAGGCTTGCCAAAGGAAAAAGAAAACACACCACAACATCTCTCCTATTGGTGGAAAACTTCACCACAACAACCAATCCAAAATTATATGGTGACTGATTGACAAGGGGCGGGTGCTTACGTTCTTCCTGCAATATGAGAAGGGAGGGAGGGACTCTCAGCAGGGATGCAGTCTGGGACACGTAGTTGCAAACCTAGCGACTTTGTTGTTAGATTCAATGACTTTTCAGACCCCCTAACGACTTTTTTTTTAGAAAGAAAGTGACTTTTATCGACTTCTTCTGGAGTTTAGAGACTCTGACATGAAGCAGGCTTTCCTTACTGAGGAGTTAGCAACGCTGCTAAGGGTGCAGAGCCACACATGTGCTCCGAGCTCTGCATGAAGCTGACAGATCTGCAGCAGTTAGCAGGTTTCACCCTCAGAGACCACCAGGGGTTCATGTTGAGGCATTTTCAGTTTTTTTTTTTTTTTTTTTGCCATAGACACTGTCAGCACAATCTGCAGTTACACTAACAAAAATGCTGCAAAAAACAAAGAATTATGGAAAAATTACACATGGACTAACATAGAGGAGGATATACACAAGTTTTTTACATCATGTTTTACATCATGCATCATTTACATCATGTTTTTTTGTAGTGGCATAAATAAAAAGTGACATTTGTGAGACTATACAGTGTTTTGTAAATAATTTTACAAAGAACACCTGGGCCATTGCCTGCATTTTGATGTAAATAGAGGTAAATTACTATGTTCTTTGTTAAAAATTTGCATATGTTTTGAAGTTTACAATTTTTATTTGAAGTTTAAGTTTTAAAAACAGTTCATCACACATATTTGTGGTTTTCACAGTAAAAACGTTACTTTTTTCCACTCGGATTTTATGTTTTGTGTGTGAATTTGGGTCCAATGTGTAAATATAGTATGTCAAAATGATAAAATAACTGTAAATTGACACAGGTGAGGTTGTGCTGAAAAAAATGATACCAGGCAAGGCAAGGTAAAAATTTTGTAAGAGGAAATATAAAGGTAAAATCTAAAGTAGTCAAAAACGGCCAATAGTGACTCACAGACTCCACAGACAAGTCCCTTTGGCGCCACTCAGTGGGCAAAACTACTTTGTCTACTGTAATGTATATTTGGGTCATCTTTGGCGCCCCCTAAAACGTAAACCGTGGGGTGCAGCGTCATGATTTTTACAACTTTGAATGGCCATGGAGTGTAGATTGGCCTGAGCAAATTTGGTGTCAGTGGGACGAAAGCCTTAGGAGGAGTTAGCGAAATTCCAATGTGTGCGAATCGGCAAAAAATGCAAAATAGCCCTTTTACCGTACATTATACAGATACGCGCTCTTTGACTTTTTCGTAGATCTAATTGAGATACACATGATTGTCAAATTTTGTGTCATTTTGCCAAAGCGTACAGGCGTGACAGTCAACAATGTGTATTTTCACCTTAGGGGACAAGAAAAAATTGACTTTTTTCTCCTGCCATGGGGGGGCGCTCTTTTAGGGAGTAAAAATTCCTTCACAAATGTGTTGATGGCTGGACATTGCATCATCCTAGAAAACTTGGAGGCCAGTGAGGACAAAAGTAAAAAGTTATAAGACTTTTAAGAATGTGGATTTTTGGGTTATCTTTGGCGCCCCCTAGAACGTAAACCGTGGGGTGCAGCGTCATGATTTGAATAACTTTTAATGGCCATGGGGTGTAGATTGGCCTGAGCAAATGTGGTGCCGGTGGAACGAAAGCCTTCGGAGGAGTTAGCGAAATTCCAATGTGTGCGAATCGGCAAAAAATGCGGAATAACCCTTTAACCGTACATTTGACAGATACGCGCGCATGGACTTTTTTGTAGATCTTATTGAGATACATGTGTGTGTCAATTTTTGTGTCATTTTGACAAAGCGTACAGGCGTGACACTCAACAATGTGTATTTTCACCTTAGGGGACAAGAAAAAATGGACTTTTTTCTCCTGCCATGGGGGGGCGCTCTTTTGGGGAGTAAAAATTCCTTCACAAATGTGTTGATGGCTGGACATTGCATCATCCTAGAAAACTTGGAGGCCAGTGAGGGCAAAAATAAAAAGTTATAAGACTTTTAAATATGTGGATTTTAGGGTTATCTTTGGCGCCCCCTAGAACCTAAACCGTGGGGTGCAGCGTCATGATTTGAATAACTTTTAATGGCCATGGGGTGTAGATTGGCCTGAGCAAATGTGGTGCCGGTGGAACGAAAGCCTTCGGAGGAGTTAGCGAAATTCCAATGTGTGCGAATCGGCAAAAAATGCGGAATAACCCTTTAATCGTACATTTGACAGATACGCCCGCACTGACTTTTTTGTAGATCTTATTGAGATACATGTGTGTGTCAAATTTTGTGTCATTTTGACAAAGCGTAAAGGCGTGACACTCAATAGTGTGAATTTTCACCTTAGGGGGCGCTATGGAGCCATTTTGCATTTTCTTGTTTGGGCGACTTCGGAATATCAAATTTTTCACCAGGCCCGGTCGTCCTGCCAAATTTCATGAGTTTTCGCCAGTGGGAAGTGGGCCATTTTCCAGTTCAAAGGGGAGGAAAAAAGAAACTAGGACCCCGTTGGGGCACTGGCGGGCCCGAGCTGTGTCGCGTCCCCCCCCAACGCGCTGCCTCCCCGTCCCATTCGTGTCCTCTGGCCATCGCCCTCTCTGGTAACGCCCATCACTGCAAAGACCCTTTTCCTTCATCGGCGTTTGCTGTTCTTCCTGCCAGTGCGTGTTGCTTTCACTTACACTTGCCACAGCCAGCCTCTTGAGTGCCTAGCCTATTGGATATCACTGTCACCTACTCAGGACAGTCATTACCTTTCTATTAATACTTTGTTTTTTAATTTCACATTAATTTCCATATTGTATAAACAAGTGGAAAAAACTTGAGCCCCTGCCCCTGTATAATCATGTGCACGTCTCTGTTCTAGCTCTAAGGTGAATCTTCACTGCTCATGTTCTCCTCAGAAGCAGTCACCTCACTCCCCTCAGGTTACTGTACACATGCACCAACTGCCTGCTTCAGGTTTGGATGGAGCTTCATGGTTGTCTTTTGGAGAAATGACCAGTCAAGTTGTGTTTGAAATTTGATTTTTTTCAGGGGCAAAAGGAGCCTCTGCATTCTTGTCAAATATGTAAATAGCATGTTTTTGCAGGTGCTAAAAAACAGACTCTGAGTGTGTGTGTGTGCGTGTGTGTGTGTGTGTGTGTGTGTGTGTGTGTGTGTGTGTGTGTGTGTGTGTGTGTGTGTGTGTGTGCGTTGAAGTCACATGACATATTTAACCGGATGTAGCTGCAAGACGGAGCCTCGTTGACTCCGTTTCAACTTATCTCAAAAGTGAGGACCTCAACCTATATACCAGTTTTTAAATTGTGTTGATAGGCCAAATAAAACCAGAGTTATGATAAATTATGTCCCCGATACTTGTTTTCTGCTTATTTTGATCACGTTCGGCGCTCGATCGCGCTGTATGAGACAGGAAAACATAGCATGCAGACATTAGCGACAGGTCTTACAGGCGGAAAAGGCTTGCCAAAGGAAAAAGAAAACACACCACAACATCTCTCCTAT